GACTTTTCTAATCTGATTTACTGGTACTTTGAACTCCTTTCCTTTTTCCTTTCCCTTATACTGAAATTGTATGTGTCACTTTAGACATTGTTCAGCCCCCCCCCCCCGATATGTTGTGTGCATATCCAAAAAAAGACAATTTTAATTGTGTCTGTATTCAGGTTTCTGATGCGTGAAAAACTTTCCTGCACTTCTCATCATATGCATGATTTCTGTATTCAGGATGGTCTTTCTTTTTGTGTTGTAGAAACTGTAATTTGGATCTGACCCAACTACTCTGATCTACCCAATCTTCTACTCTATTTTTGCTTATTTTATTTATATATTTTACACCCCATTTTTCTCCCCTCTTCCATTTTATCCTCCCAGCAACCCAGTGATGTAGGTTAGGCTGAGAGAGAAGCTGACCAAAAGTCACCCAGCAAACTTCCGCAGCAGAACAGGGATTCTATTCCCCCCCCCCCCAATTGCCTTGCTATACCTTTTATCAGGGGTCGTTTCATAGAAAATTCCATTTTATCCTCCCAGCAACCCAGTGATGTAGGTTAGGCTGAGAGAGAAGCTGACCAAAAGTCACCCAGCAAACTTCCGCAGCAGAACAGGGATTCTATTCCCCCCCCCCCATTGCCTTGCTATACCTTTTATCAGGGGTCGCTTCATAGACAAAGAGCTATTAGCATATGCCACACCCCCTGACATCACCGGAAGTGTGTCATAAGGCCACACCCCCTGACAGCACCGGAAGTGTGTCATAAGGCCACACACGCCGCCCCCAACGGTCCCGGCCGCCGGTGGCGGCCTTGCAGCTCCACTGCCGAGCCCCATGAGGGGCCCGGTTCCCCTACAACAGGGGAAGATCAATGGGACAATGGCACTAAAGCCTTTGAAAAGGATGTTATCTTGGACTGTGGAGACTGCTGTGAATTTGTTCAAATCCTTAAGGCTGAGGGAGTTTTGCTTTCCTGTGAGGACCTTTTCCCCAGCTACTATGTGAAGAGAGACATCAATTCTACTGTATTTCAGTTCTGCAGTTTATCTTTTTTGTGTGTGCTGTATATTAGTCTTTGATTGTCTAGAGTGCAGTTTGGAATTGACTAAAGTTGCTTCCAGACAGCTCTGTTCTTCCAGTGATATTGGTGCTAAGCTGGAAGAAACAAAGAGTAATTCATGGAAAATATGTCAACTAGCAAGATGTGTGTTTTGCAGATTAAGATCTTCTCAAGCCCTGCTGTCTGTGCATATGCAAAGGTGAAGGGGGGGTGCATGGTGACTAGAGATGGGGCTTTTTTAGTGGTGCCACCTTTCCTTTGGAATGGACATCCCCTTGAGATTCACCATGGTACCTACTCTGCTACCTTCTAGATACCACGCCAAAAATTTCTTTTTCAACGGAGAGGGTTCTGTCTTTTAAAGTTGTTTTTATGGTCTGGTTCTAGTCTGAGGACTGTTTAATGGATATTTTTATGGGCTGTTCAATGCTGTTTTAGTGCTAGTTTTTAATAGCTTGTTTTAAATATTGATTATTTTGTTGCTTTTAAAATGACTTTATTGTGTTTACTTTTACTTTGCTCTTACTTGTGAGCTGTCTTGAGCGGGCTTCTGGAGGGTCAACTCTAATGCACTTTTTATTCCTTTTTGAAGAGGAACTGTGGATCAGGGGATTCCAAAGTATGACTGTGGATGGGGAGGTCCGAAGTATGACTGTGTGTGTGTGGGTTTCCGAAGTATGATAATATGTGAAACAAGGCAATTAGTGTAGTACAAACATTACGGTACTGAAAAAAATATGGATTGTATGCATCAGAACAGCTGGAAAAATATCTTAAGATGTATGTATTAGTGTATCTAATCCTCAGCATGACCACAGCTGTGGATACTTTCTGACGAGCAGGAGAAAGAAAGCAGGGCCCTTTCCAGGCCTGTTTTGGCCTTTGAGGGTGGGCTCATTGGAGCCAGGCATGGCATCAGTCATTGGCAGGCCTGGCTGCTCACTACTGTTCAACAGCAGCCACCGCATGAAAGCCAGAACAATTAAAGCCCATGTGATGTAGTGGTTAGAGTGCCAGATTAGGATTTGGGACACACAGCTTTGAATCCCCACTCTGCCATGGAAGCTTACTTTAGGCCAATCATTTTCTCTCAGCCTTGCCTACCTCACAGGGCTGTTGTCAGGATAAAAAGGAAGACAGTGATGTAAGCTGCTTTGGGTCCCCATTGTGGAGAAAGGTGGGGTATAAATGGGGGCAGATAAAAGGTAGGTTGGCTGGTGCATGGGAAAGAGAGAAGGAAGCAGGAAGCAGGGCAAGGGGAGACAATATGGGGGCTGCCCCAGAGGAGTGAAAGAGGAAATAATGTGAGGTATACAGGGGAAAATGAAGTAGCCTCACAAATCCTTGCAGACTCCCCAGTCGACTTTTCTAATCTGATTTACTGGTACTTTGAACTCCTTTCCTTTTTCCTTTCCCTTATACTGAAATTGTATGTGTCACTTTAGACATTGTTCAGCCCCCCCCCCCCGATATGTTGTGTGCATATCCAAAAAAAGACAATTTTAATTGTGTCTGTATTCAGGTTTCTGATGCGTGAAAAACTTTCCTGCACTTCTCATCATATGCATGATTTCTGTATTCAGGATGGTCTTTCTTTTTGTGTTGTAGAAACTGTAATTTGGATCTGACCCAACTACTCTGATCTACCCAATCTTCTACTCTATTTTTGCTTATTTTATTTATATATTTTACACCCCATTTTTCTCCCCTCTTCCATTTTATCCTCCCAGCAACCCAGTGATGTAGGTTAGGCTGAGAGGGCCGGAAGCGGGGCGGCCGGAAGCAGGGGGCGGGGCTTTGTCATGTGCCCCGCCCCCGTACCTCACCCGGGGGGACTGCGATCCCCCGCAATCCCCCCCGAAATGGCCTCTGCCTTTTATCCTCTTATTTTGATCAGGTTTATTTTTATCACAAGTTTCAACTTAAATTGTGGCGGCCTGGGCATCTCTTAGCCTAATTTACCTTACATTGACCAGGTAGAGTTGTAACTTGGCCTTTGGTTTAGCAATTGGCTAGCACTGTGGCTGCACCAGTGCATATAATTGTTAAGGCATGTGATGTCCTCTTTTTATAAAATTTGAGCTCCATGGAAGAAAGGACAGAAGTCTGATAGGTTTTCTTGCTACAGTATCATTTCGCTGAGTCAAATTCGTTTTGTATTGTACTATAATCCCTAGGGCCTTCTCAACTGGAAGGCATAGACATAAAGCTGGAACAGCATAATGAATAAGAAAGGTTGAGAGATGGGAAATCCTCTGTTCAGATCTTGCATCACTTGTGAACTCTCCAGATAGCTTTAGTTAGCAATTCTTCTTCTTCATGATTTGTGTATATCACAGACTTTGTACCTGTTCAGAACAGATTCAGAGACTTCTACAGCTAGAAGTACAAGGGCTTTGCCAAGCGGCCATTACACCCTGCACTATCATGGGCCTTACAGCTGGTCCTTACCCAGTTCATGTTGAAGCACTTCTGACTTCTAGCAGCTTGTGAGGTGAATCTCCTTACCTTTTGACTTCCAGGTTGCAATCTGTTCTCCAAGGAGGTCCAGTGCACTCTGTGCTCAGACCCTCCTTATGTGCAACTTCACAGGTACAAGGCCCAGCTATTTCTTTCCTGCCAAAAGTTATCTCTCAGTTTCTCTTGGATTTAGGATCTCGGTGTCCTCACCTGCTTCCCTAATCAAACATCTGCTGCGGAGAGGGCCCCTGTGTTCTTTAGCTGCCTATTGGGTGTTGTCTGTCAACCAGGACAGAACTGCCTCTTGCAAAGAACACTTGGGCCTTCTTCCCATGCTGCTTGTGCCCCAAAGATAGGACAAAGAATGCTTCACCAGCGGTTCAGTTAATGGGTTGCAGGTACAATGAAGCTATGCCCATAAGATACTTCCTGGGACACTCTGAGCTCAAGTTCTTCATGAACCGTTGCTACCTCTTTGGCCTTCATGAGCTGTGCAGAGCAGTCATGTGGACCCAGCCACCCACCTTCATGAAGCACTGTGCTCTACAGGTCAGAGACAGAGCAGGTGTCAGAGACTTCAGCAGGGCAGTGAGTGCTCTTGAGCTCTCCTGACCGTACCTGAACCTGCCTGATATTGGCCAGCTTGTAAGTCTTTTCCAATCAATGCTACTCTCAGAGGCAACAAAGAAAAAAAATAGTTGCTTACCTGTAGCTGACAGTGTTCAAGTGGTCATGTCTGCATTCATACAGTCTGCCATCCTCCCCTGGAACAGGTGCATTTAACTCTCTGTGATGATAATTTTTGGGGAGAAAACTAAGCAGGAAGATGCAACTCCTCCCCCTTAGGCATATGCAATCAAGACTGTACCTCTTGACGGGGGGAGTATTTTCACATCACATCTAAAAGCTAGCTCTATAAGCTTCCAAACTGGAGCCATGCAGCCCCAAAGCCCACCAGAGTGAATGCACAGATGACCATTCAAACGTCATTAACTAGTAAGCACCCTGTCTTTCTCCTGTCTTTGGCACTTGTTCCTTTCCACAAGAATATGCAGAAAATAGTATGAGCCTACTTTAGGGGCCTATTGTTAGGATTACTGAGAGAATGTATCAGATGCGTACTCTAAAGAACTGTATAAATGGTAGTAGTATTACTTAATACTTAGCAATTATGTTTGTTTGAACTTAATTTTGTAGCTTATGGCTCTGCACTACTTACTGTAAATCACACAGTGTATCGTGTTTTTGCCAGATTATTATCTGTAGATTTTAATAAGTCTCCATTCTGCTGAAATTGTAACATAACAGCTTGAGTCAGGACAGAGACCTATGGAAGTTGCTACTTCCTCCTAGCTTAATGTTGCTAAAATAGCATTTAGTACCATTTCTGCTTTCAGTTAAGCTCCTTAATGAGATGAAGTTGCTGTATATTGTATTAGCAGCATGGTAACACATTAAATGGTACCTATGTATCCTTCTCTTGCTTGTCAGACTCTTCTTGAGACCACAACTAACCTACTCAACCGTGACCTCCACTGGTCTTTATGTAATCTGAGAGCATCTATGGCTAGAGGTCTCAACCCCAAGCAAGATTACTGCTGTATTTGTCTTCAACAATATAAAAGACGACAAGAGAGTGCTGACCAAATCATTGTCTTCAGGTATGCCTCAGCTTAAGTAAACTTTTAATTCTAGGTGTACTACTGTTTGTTTTCTCTTCATTATGCCGTAGCAAAAGCTTGAAGAGAGAACACCGTCTGTGTCCTTAGTCTAGTACTTCTTAGGCTAACTGGAAGGTAGGGCAGGAGGGCGGCTTGAGTAATCTAATTTCTTGTATTTCTGTGATGCATGTATTTGCCAGTTTAATCTTGTGGTTAGGATCTTTGTTTCTCTGTGAGAGGGCCTAGGTGATGTACCTGCTCTATAGCAGGGGCCACCTCCTTTCTTTATAATTACCACAGATAAATTTGTTTGACCTTATCTTTAAAAGAGTGAGGAGTGATAACTTGTTTTGTTCTCCATGTCTTTTATTGGGTAAAACTATTTTTAAACTGAGTTTTGTTGATGGAGTATTTGCACCTTAAACTGCCCTCTGATTAATTATTTGAATACTTGATTTAAGTATTTGCCTGTTGTAGTTTTTAATGATGATTTAATGGTTTTATGGTTGAATTCTGTATGTTTTTAATAATTGTATACCTCTTTTTTAAAGGTGGTTGTTGATTTTTATCTGTTATACCTTACTTTGAGATCCAGCAGCAAATAGATGTTTATGTAGAAAATTATAATAATTTATGCCAGTGTTACAGACTCATTGATGGATTACTTTCTCTACCAGTAGCCAGCATCTCCATGGATGTATTTGCTTGTCCAAATTTCTATTAAAATAGATTAGTTTTTTTAAAAACCACGTTCATTTGAAATAGATGGTAATGACAAAAATATTCTGTAACTGAACATTTTTTCAGTCCATTATGGCTAGTGGTTAAAATAATTTTCCTTCAAAAAATTTATTTTAAATTCTTGTAATCAGTACGCAAAGCTTTTAAAAGAATGGCAGCATTTAATCTAATACTGTATTGCCATATGATAAATGAAGGGTTTAGTTCCCCTTGTCCTGAATTATATGAGGAAGCCATTCATTAAAAAACAATATTGTATTATGTGGAAAATCCTGTAGAGCTGAAGTGGTTAGATATAGAAAAAGAATCCCTTGGGAAACAATCGAGAAGCTAGTGTGGGATATAAAGCAAAGCAGGCCCTGTCTGATAACTGACATTCATCAGTTACCCAACATGTATGGGATTACTGGATAAGGCACTTAGCACCAGCTACATTGCAATTATCCTTCTTTATTAACTTAGTTTTAGATCCTAATCTCAAATGTGTTATTTTAAAGAATGAGGTAAATACAAAAAAAAAAAAGTGAGGTTATGTCTAGATAACATTTTCCCCCAAAGGAGAAATGTCTTTCCAAATGGAAGAGTGGCTTATCCAATTTATAACAGATTTTGTTTCGTGGCAGCAACCTGTTTCTTTTGAAAAGCTAATAAAGCATACTTTAAGGGAGCTGTTTCGGTTTTCTACTGATTGTTATGGTTCTTCCTCTTGAAGTAGGTAGTAGAAATAGAGGATTTTGGGGAACAACTGACTGGAGAAACATGGGATAAAGATAATCTCCGCTAATGTCAAGGTGCCTTACTGAAAGAAAATATGTTTTACAATACTACTCATAGTGCATCTCTTTCCAAATAAATTTAATGGTGTACAGCAGCTAATTCTAGTGTATTTTGGAGTATGGTCAAGAAGGAAAATTTTACCAGTATGGTATGCATGTCCAAGGGCACAGGGAAAATGGATCAGGCTTCCTTATTATACTGAGAAAATTACTGGATATAGTTGTATAATATTGAACTACATAGATAATGTTCATATCCCTTCAGTGCACAGGGGCTGTGGATCATGGTTGCTTTCTCTTCAAATCCTCACAATTATTTCTGCTGTCTGTGGATCAGCTAGTTTTTGAACCAGCCACTGTGGAATAGCATACCTGAAACTAGATACACAGGATTTATGTGGTGTTGGTATTGTTTGAGAGAACCTGATTTATTGAGCTGTAAACATCTCCAGGGGTTGTATGACTATAGCCAACAAATATGAATATGTCTGAGGGACAGGTATGAGTATGTCTGAGGTAATTAAGCTTGATTTCTCTTTAGAGTTTGAAGGTATTTTGACAGTTAAATCAGTTTAACGAGGGTGTTAAATAAGAGATTTGGGCGCTGTATCTGATAGTAGCAGGGAATGAGGCTGTCCCATGCGCCTTACTTTTAATTGAAGGATATATCCCCCCCCTTGTCTCAAAACTGTTCTGCTGATTTTGTTTCCTGTGGTATTTTTGTGACATCTAGGATTAGATTTTGTAATCTGCAGAAACATGGATCATGGATCTTTCCTGCATGGGTCTTTCATGGGTCTGGAAACCATGTTGTTCAGGAAGCTATATAGAAGTGGATTTACTTTCTTCTGTCAGTATGGTGCCACTTATGGAAGAGACGGGGTGATTTTGTTCCCTTCCCCACTGCAGCCTCCTGACCTGAATGGCTGTTAGACCACACAGGTCATACAACTTTGGGAATAAACTTTCCCAGGGTAGGAAAGGGCTTCTGAGCGGGGAGGGAATATGGGAGAGGTCTGCAACCAGTTAGCACCTTTTACTGACAGATTGTGGAATACCTAGTTTGGTAAGTACTTGTTAAGTACTAACATGCTGTGTAGTATGTATGCTTGGCTACCTATGTGTGTATAATATAATGTGTCTAATCTGTTCTGTTTTTCAGCTGTGGTCACTTGTACCACTCTCTCTGTCTCCTGAGTAAGGGATGTGGCATTGACTCAAAGGGACAGATGAGATGGACTTGTTTTAAATGCAATGCAAGTAACAGAAGTGGTAAACTCAGTGAGACTTCCTCAGAGATTAAGAAAGGGACCACAGTATCTCTGCCACAGGTAAGATGTATTGGTGAGCCTTTTTCAAAAGGTTGAATGCATTTTCACTTGGAATTTAGGGACAGTTTTGCAAATTAGGGCTAATATTGTGTGATGCCATTCGGAAACCTGTTAAGGTGGTTTCTGTCATGTCTGAACAGGGAAACCTTTGCATGGCCATTGTCCCTGCATGTATTTTTGGAGCAAACAAGGGTAAATTCTTGCTCCTTTCATTTGTTTTCCTTGGAAATTTTTATAGACCACAGCTCTTATCCAGTGGCTCCGGAGCAGGTTTTCAGAATTAAAAAGAAAACCCCAAAATAATATAACAAACAAGCTCTAAAAAGGTGCAGTAACTTTTTAAAACAAAAACTTGTATCCCTAAAAACCAACATAAAATAGAACCAACAACAAAAGCAGCATATGGATTAATATCTAGTTAATATGCAACAATCATGGCAAATGAGATATAAGGAAAAAACCAATAAACCAACCCAAAGCCTGGGCAAAAAAAAAAGATGTTTGCCTGGTGCCTAAAGCTAAACATCAACTCAAGAGCCATAAGAGCTGATTTATTTCCTATTATTTCCCTTCTCCCATATCTCAAAGCTGTAATTATTCCCGAATTTGTGTTCAGTAATTGGCTCTTGGCACTCTGCTCTCCTGCGTACCCTGAGTTTCATCTCTCTTGATGAACTCAATTCTGCCTTTATGATATGAAGGCCCTGCTCATATGAGTGAAGCTGTCATGATGGAGCATGCGGGAAAGACAATCCTACAAATATGAAAGTGCAAGGGCATGAAGGGCTTTGTATGTGATAGCCAGTACCTTGAATTGAACCCAGTAACTGATAGGCAGCCAATGGAGTGGCTGTAGAGCGGGAGTGATATGTCTGTGATGAATTCAGAACCTCTTCAGTAAAACTTCCATAAATGGTCCCCTGTCAGTTGTATAGAGGACATTGAACTCAAACAGGCAATATAAACATTTGAAAAATCAAAATTATGTATAGACCGCATGTTATTACTGTATATTTATTGCAATGTGTTTCCAAATGCTAGATTGCAAAAAATTATGTTGTAGCTTTATCGTTTTGATTTCACATTTGGGATTTAATAGATTCTCATATTTGCATTGGGGTTAATATTCTGTGTAGTATTGGCTTGGCTTGCTTTCTTGAACTTCCTGGATTGTTTTGTCAAACTATTACTTAACACAACTGAACAGCACGTATTATGCAGACATGCTGGCTGTAACATTGAAATCTCACCGTCTATTACTTCTGGGGAGGTTAATAGGAAGAGAATCCTTAGATTTGACCTTCAGGTCTCTTCAAATCCTTTGACTGTGTGAATAATTAAACTTTTATGTGACCTAGAGGAGAGGAACATTTTTATCTTCCAGATGTTGCGGGCCTAACTTTATTTCAGAGTAAAGGATTTCATTTTGCATGTTTTATTCATGTTTATAAAAATAGTCTGGCTCTATCCTATGGGAATTAATGCAGATTTGTTTTCTTGTAATAGTAGTGGGTTTGTTTTATCATTAATCTCTTAAGTGAAAAATATTGAGATACAGCAGGTTCTATAGTTATAGACTGACTAATCAACTGAAGTCCACCAACAGTTCCCAGTGCTGTGGGGTTAGAGGTTGGGGGTCTTAACTGTTTGCCCCTTGAAATGCTTCCCCCTCCCAAAACAAATAGGGAAATGTATGCTCTGGCATATGCAGGGATGGGAGGGAGTTATGCCTTTAAACAATAAAAGTGACTTTTCTACTGGATACTCAGGTGGTTGTGGTGCTGGTGGTAGCCTGGAGGGCTCTTGACTTACTTTGGTTGCAGAGCCATCTGAAATCCCCCCTGTCTTGACAAGGATTTAGCCTCAGTCATTTTTGCAGGGCCACCCTGCAAATGGGCAGTATCACCAGCTGTCCATACACATACATTTATCATGCCATTTATGCTTTTTCTCAGCTTTGTCTTAGTTTTCTGCTTAGTTTCAGATTTTTGCGATCCTAATCCTATTACATTGCTTACTGACCATCTCATCCTGTTAAACTGTATTAACATACGCTATGTATTTTGCCTTGAGTCTCAGTGAGAAAGGCAGACTATAAATAAGGTAGCTAAAATAAACTAAGCGTAACCAGGAAATAGCACACTGGAAGGAATGCCATCAGAATCAAGTGTAATAATGATAGCATACGTGTCACTGAGAGCTGATGTAACTGGGATCACTTTTATTAGAAAGACATTTGACAGGACAACATGGGATTGTGCCAGACAGCATCTTGATTGAGCCAAAGCATTTAGCAACAAGGATCTGAAAACTTTCAGTGCCCGAATAGATCGATTTCTCTGAGCTTTATTGTGCCATTTACTGCTTTTGTCCATTGTGGCTATAATGTGATCAAGCTGGTTGTTTATTCTCCTACCAGCTTGTCTATTTCTATTGTGCAAATGTCCTAAGATTACACGTTTTTGCTGGGCCTCATGTGAATGGCAGGTACAGGCTGGTCATGAAGGCAAGATGAAGTGTTTGGGGGGGGGGGATAAAGAGGCCAATACTGGCATAATGGTCATGGCAGCAAGTGTTATAAACACATTTTCAGGAAATTATTAGGCACTGCCAAGAAAGGGTGATCAGGAAGAGAAATTGTATACCCATTGCTAGTGATGTTCCAGCCCCAGTTCAGTTAGGTGCTTCAGACCTAGCAGTGTTGCTCAAACAAAAATAGGGTACTGATCAGAAGGAAACGTGCTGAACCACCTCTGCATTCTGTGCACGTCAGTGTGTGTTACTGGAAGCAAAGATGAATTCTTGCAGTTTTTTCTTCTTATGGGGTGACTGTGAAAGGCAAAAATCAATAAGCTACCCTGACTCATCCCCCTCCCCCCTAAAAAAACACCGTCTTAAATATAGTACTGTGGCTAAGGTCTCCCAGATTACATTTGTGGGGTGTTGTTTTTTTTTGTTTGTTTTTTGTCATTTTGTTTCAGCACAGAGCTGACTCATATTTAGTTTGCAAGCTGCTTAATGATAATTCAGTAGCTCTAAGTAATCCAGCTGCTAAGGCTAAAGTAGTATAAAATCCTGATTTTAGAGTATAAATGTTATACACTTGAATTAGGTAAGAGAGGACTAATATACAATGTAGCCCATGGATGCTTGCAGCAGGTGTCAATATGTAGCCTGATGCATCCAATAACAATTCAAGACCCTGAGATTGGGTGGCTGTCAGTAATACAGCATCTCAAATAGGAAGCAATTAGATCTGAATTAAGTATTCAGACTTGTTCTTCTTCTAGTGAGTTTTCATTGCATTAGCACCAAAGGACAACTAATTTAAGTAATTTCAGTTTCATTAAAGAATTCTTAAAGAATTGTCTTTAGATGAACAGTTTGTTCACAGCATGCCTCTTCCTCTCTGCTTTGTATCTCCAATATAGTTTTTGCCTTTTGTAGTTAGCTGAATGAAAACAAGGTGGAAGCTTGAAAACCTTAAGAAGGCTACAATAAACACTATTCAGGATAGTGTTCCCTCTTCTCCTTTTCAAACCTTGAGTTGTCTGGGCTCATGAAAACAAATGAACTTTTTATTTTTAAAGAAGTCCATACACTGGAGAATTTTTGAGTGGGTGGAATCATGCAAAACATTCATTAGAAACTTCAGTTGCATTTCTAAACTGATTTTGGTCAAATGAAGGGCATATTTGCGCTACTTGTAAAATTTTGAGTTTGGGTGTTTGTTTTTAAAGAATGCTTAGAGCAAAACTGGATTGGCACTGGAAAATGCCACCAAGCATCTGGAGTATATTTCATAGTAACATTTCTGCTGTTTTGAAGTGAACTGTCAGCTTGAATGTCGAAGTAGTGTTGAGATTTAGATGTGAACTGACAGCAACCCAACACACTCTGTTCTTTATCTCTCTCTGTTCTATAAGCATCCTTCTCAGTAACCGCATTGGGGAAAAACAAAGAGTCTGCCAGGGAAATTGGTGGTTTAAAAAAACATTGCATGAGCATTCACTGGGTTAGATACGTTTTGAGCTTTAAGTATATTTCTAAAGTTTGCCTTCTGTCTTTGAGAGGTCATGGACAAAACTTAAAAATTTCTAGGGCAGTTTTCTCCAGGTCCTCTGGTCCAAACGGAAATTGGCAGTTGGCTTTTGTATTCTTTACAATAACAGGAGCTGGGCTTGTAATATTTATGCCAGGTGCAAGCATACCCAGGTGCACGCTTACTAGCCTGCCTACCCTTCCATTCCAGCTCAAGCCAGCAGGGGCAAAGGGTAAAGACTGAGGAGGCAAGCCAAGATGGGAATAAGTTATATGCAGAAGCTGCGCATGGCCAGGAACAGCCAGAAGGAGTGACAGATGGCAGTGCAGACCATTTTGATCCAAGACAACTTAGCCAACAGCTAGAGTATAGCAGCGTGCTGGAGTATAGCCGCATAAGCATCTGGGTGACACAGAATGTAGTGGTCCCTCTCCTGCTCTCACACACACATTCACACTTACACACATATACCACCCCCACCTTCCAAAGGATGGACTTCCCTTTGTTTCTGACCCCTTTGTGAATGATGCTCACCCAGCCTTCCGTGGGCTGACGGTACATGCTTATAATAAGGGAATTTCTCTAACCCGTTTACTTAGAACTGCTGAAGGCTGCCAATAGTAGCGTGATTGATTAGCCTAACTTTCTATGTGTATCTTCCAGTTGGGGGGGGGGGCATCTTAAGTCATATTCTATACACGTTAAACCTAGTTATAACATCTGCAGTTTCTACTGGTGCATTTTATGATAAATGAAAATATCCCTGACAACAGTCCTAAATTTCTGGGGAATCTGGCAAATTCACTGTCTCTGTGTGTGTGTGTGTGTTTAATGGATTTGGTTGCTAATTTGAGCAATATATTTCTGGGGGGAAAGTGCCTGCCTTATAAGGAGCCTTTGGAGAGCTTGCCAGATTCAGTCGAAGTAGAATCTTGTCAGTACAGTGAAGGATGTTTGT